AGTTGGCACTAACCGCTGCTTCAACGGTTTATATACCGGGTTCTATTATTGCACCGTCTTTGAAAGGTCGTATCTTGAAAGTCGCTCCGTTTCGAAAATAAATTATGCAGTCACCTGGACCGATCGCCTTTCTTCTCTCCCCCCCCTTTTTTTAATACCGTCGCACTGCGTTTTTTATGTTCTTTTTTTTCCATTCCGTCGGGTATACGGAGTTAATTGTGCGTACGTCGCCCGGAGAAGATATATCGTACGCCGCTTTGCACACCGCGGATCTCGCCGCCGTTTCTACGTGCATATCGATGCGTCGTTGCATCCTGCGATCGCATCGCGATTACATCAATTGTTTCTTCGATTGTAATTTGGCCGATGCACTCTTCTTTTTATATTTTCTGTCCTTTCGTCAATTTATTAACACGAGGATAGCTGAATCTATTTTGGCTAAAGTCTTTGGAAGCTACGGCTCGTTTTCACTTTAAGGCAGCTAATTTAAGTCCCCGATTGCAAATGTTGGATTTAGGAGGACATAAATGTGTCTGCTGTAGAAGCACTTTTAAAAATATAGATGTAGGATTACTGATTAAGGTGGTTAACAGGTTGACAAATCATTTGCGTGATGTGGTGTATCGTTTTGCAGGGTGGTTATCCGGCTAAACTGAAGAAGGTGTTGATTGTGACCGCGCCGCTCTGGTTCAAGGCGCCGTTCAAGATCCTGCGGCTGTTCGTGCGGGAGAAACTGAGGGACAGAGTGTTCACCGTATCGATTCCCCAATTAACGTTACACATCCCACGGGAGTCATTACCGCACCGTTTAGGGGGCACGTTGGAGGTACAGCATGAGGCATGGCTGCTCCACTGTCTTAAATCCATGACAAACAGAGGCGGGGGCGAACTTTGCGAGGTCAGTCTCGTTCTGTATAACCGGACACAACGCATTGACTTCCTCATTTTAAAGTCCAAGATTTTTCTGAGAAAATCGCAACTGTTTTGTGTCAAATGCTCACCTTGACTTGGGCTCCTGGTACAGTCTCCGCGAGAAAGCTACTCTTTGGGTCCGCGGAGGAGTTCTCCAAAAACAATTGAGATCTTCAGTTAAAAAATGAAACAAGGAAACCAGATACTCTTTCGCAGAGGAAAACAATAGCTTTCAAGTGACAAAATGAAATGACATTCTGTAATAGGAAAGAGTAGCACTTTCGCGGAGAAATTGTAGCTCTCTCGGCTGCGGTTAAAATACCAAGAGAAAAGCAATATCTTCTTTGGAAATGATTTCTATGATAACTGAAGTTACTATACCGTCAGTTCATATATATAACGGTAATCATGTATTCGAAATGTCTCGGTACTGGTGAGAATAATGACGCAGGTACTTTATACGTGCGCAGGTTACCCCCAGGGTGGGTAGTCCTCTTTCGCCCACATCAAAAAACCACACGGCCGCCCAGAATCCGAATGGAACCACGGTTAGTAGCTCGACTAGTCCTATAATCGATAAGAGCAAAGTGAAAAATGGTGTCTCAAACATCGGCGACATCGAAATCACGAACGGTGACGTCTGGATGGGAACCGATGAGGCGCCGTCACCAGTACAGCCTCCGTCCTCAGCTAGTTCAGGCTTTAGCGACGACGACAGCCTTCACGGAGACCTTGGACTTCAGGCCGTCAGCATGGAACAGCTTATCGAAGACATCCATTCGAGGGGTCGCGCTGGCTTGGTCGCGGAGTACGCGGAAATAAGGCAAAGACCAGCGGAAGGTTCCTTCAACAATGCAAAGTATGTCCCTCTAATGACCATTTGAACTTTCTTTTAATAATGGGACACTAAGGATTAACTTGCAAATATTGGTACTTCATGGAAATGAAAATTAAATATTGGGGATATTACGATGTCAACAATTTTTAGTTAGTTGCAGTCCCGAGACTAAGATAGTCATAAGATAATTTTAAAAAAAGAATCCTAGTGTTATAATTATGCAGTAATTTTGTAGATGTCTCTGTACTTGTAATAAAATTATGTTACGTTTCAGACTAAGAGCGAACCAGTCGAAAAATCGGTACACAGACGTGCTTTGCTATGATCACAGCAGAGTGTGCCTCTCCCAAATAGACGGAGACTCCACCTCCGATTACATAAACGCGAATTTCGTCGACGGCTATAAACAAAAAAATGCGTTTATCAGCACGCAGGGTCCTCTACCGAAAACCTGCGGTGATTTCTGGAGGATGATCTGGGAACAGCAGACACTTGTTGTTGTTATGACTACTAGGTATAATTTCTCGTGTTAATAATCAGATTTATAGCTTAACAATGATTGAAATCACAATAGAAATTATAAAAGTTAATAAACTCCTATTTTCTTGATATTGCGCATGAGTAGATGAATTTATTTAATAAGACCTTAGTTTATAATTAAGAAACTAATGGAATTACATATAGAAAACTTTGTACGGTGATTTTTGTAAATTTCAGAGTGGTAGAACGAGGACGTACGAAATGTGCACAGTATTGGGGCCCAGAACCGGGTGACGAAGTACAAGCGGGTGGTTTCACAGTAACTACGCTCGAAGTTGACACCAATCCCGATTATACGATATCTATGCTCCTCCTGACAAATAACAAGGTACGGGCGAACGGATGTTTCTAAACACTATTTCTAGCTTCTAATGACTGTTGCGATGAGTGAGCAATGCGTGTTATCATTTCAGACTGATGAGGCAAGAGAGGTTTGCCATATGCTGTACACAGCGTGGCCGGATTATGGCGTTCCACAGTCGGCCAGGGCTCTGTTACAGTTTCTAGCTTTAGTAAGACAACAACAAAATAAGTTACTCGCATACCGAGGCGACACATGGGCCGGACATCCGCGAGGACCTCCTATAGTTGTACACTGCAGTGCCGGAATAGGAAGGACAGGTATTTTGAGAGTGTTGAATAATAATTTAATCAGTTTACTCTTTAAGGATTGCTCGGTCAATTGAGGAGTATAATTAGTGAATTGAGTCTTATTAAGATGCACAAGCAACGAATAATAACGAAATTAAATGTCGTGGTAATGTGTGTACAGGAACGTTCTGCACGTTAGATATTTGCATATCGCGGCTAGAGGATACCGGGACCGTGGACATACGTGGAACGGTGGAGAAAATCCGAGCACAGAGGGCCTATAGTATTCAAATGCCAGACCAATACGTCTTCTGCCATCGTGCTCTGGCAGAGTACGCACTCTCCAGGGGGATGCTTAGTCCGCAACATCTCGCTATGTTACCTCCACCCATAGAAGAAGATTCCGACTAGAGGATAAACTCTATTATCATGTACCAGAGATTGATGTTCTTCCCGAAGTATGCGTAATAGTCTCCTTACATAGCCTATCTCTAGCTTAAATAACTGAAAGTTATTTTTTGCTATCATCTCCATCGATGTAATATTTCCGATTTCTACTCTTACGTTAGGCTACGTACCGATTTAGGGGATATCTAACAGAAGGACTAGACTTTTCTCCAAGGCCAAATCCGCGAACGGGAATTCTCGATTTTTGTCCCGCGATATTTTAATTCGCGAGAGAGAAAGATAAAGGGAATGAAAAAAAAAAGGAAAGGAAAGAAGAGATAATAGTAAAAGAGGTTGTTATCGAATAGTAATGGTGAACCGCAGGCACCGATGTAAAGAAAGAAAAAATGAGAAAACAAATATGGCTGTCGATCGGATCACGCCGGTCCTACTTTAACCCTCTCATATGTAAATTTTATTGTACATTCTGAAAGATGGTTGCGAAGTTATTAGAGACACGCTATAAAAAAAATGCCTCACCTTGTAAACATTCCATTTAAAAAAGAAAAAAACAATTACTATGTCAATTAAATTAAATTAAATTAAATTAAATTAAATATATACATATTTATATATAAATATAATGTATAGGCGGCTACGAATTTATCCTGTTTCATAGATTTCAAGAATGCCTCGTTTGTAATCATTGTTGTACGCGATTTTCATCACGGAGAACGTTCCAAGATAATTGTCGAAAAACATTGTTCATTAAATCGCTACGAGCGAACGGGTCAAGACCGGCGCCTATTACCTTTTAGCGCCGTGTGCGCTTAGTCACGAACCATTGATGGTGTGCAACTTACGCAGATTTCTTGTTTTCAACACGGTCGACCTGCATTCTGGATTAGCTGTGCTTACCGTTGCATTTCTTTTTTCGAGTCTCGATCGGATTTCAGACAACTCGACGACTCTTCTCGTTGCAACATTTCCTTCGTTTCTTGCTGATTAGACTCTGGAGTGCAAACCGTGCCATTTTAAAAGAAGTACTCCAATGACACCGTTTCTTGAGGGTGAATTCATAAAAAAGACAATTAGAATTTTATTTTCGAAACAGTAATGACACAAAGTTAAACTTTACCCCAAAACGTTCATTTTATCGACTTTTGATCGTATACAAATATTGGCATTGTCATATTTCTTTCAAAAAAGCACAATTTATATTCTAGGGTCTCGAATCAACTGATTCGTCGTTCCAAGATGGACGATCTCGCGCTTCCGGGCACTGCTAGATACCGAAATTACGCCAAGTACAAACTCGTAACGATAGATTGTTCTAGAATCTTTATATGAGAGGGTTAAAAATAGGCGAAATCATTCGAGACTGACGATCGAACACGGGCGAACCGTTTTTAAATGAAATTTATGGAAAATATCAATGTTACGAGAATGGTGGTATTTAATGGAAGTACGTGATGTTTTATCGGTGTCCAATGGGATAGTCGCATATGTTTCTGAGATCCTTTAACATTATTATTATTATTAATTCTTATTATTCTTATTATTATTATTACTATTATTATTATTATTATTATTATTATTATTATTACTATTATTATAAACGTGTTACGACGTACGGCCTTCGTCGTTCAGAAAAAATAAATAACAACCGGCACGATCGTGTTGATAGACAGTTTTTTGGGTGACCAAAGATTATCTACTAAAATCATCTCAGAACATTGAGGTAGAAGTAAAGCACGAACGCGCGGATACAAAAGTTTGGCTGACGAGGATATCGATTATTGGTCGCCGATTTCGATCGATCTACTATCCTGTATTTTACTGGAAGAGTATACAAAGAATATACGAGTTTTTAATTACTGTATATAAAAGGAAACTTGAATTGCCCGTTTATGAGCGAGAGACGAACAAAAAATCCACAGAGTTCCCAAATTTATTTTTGCTGTGAATTCATCGGTAGAAGTTCGCTCGGAATCGATGATCGTGCAGTTGCGACCACTCTTCGCAGGAGAAACAATTTCGTGGAACGATTCCTTTCGCAGGGATTGCCAATCAGGGATCATCGTATTATAGTTATATTAAAAACGAGTACGCTCCGTTCGCTGAAACGAAGAGATTATACGGTGTTGAACGTTTATTAAACGGCTAAATCGATGAAAATTATTGACTAGTTTATCTCGGAAAATCAAACGTGCTTCGCGCACGACGGAGTTGCAGTCGCCGCTGCGAATAAGTTGACAGTTATCACTAAGTAGCGCGATGAAATTGTTGCGAACCGTTTATTGAATTTATTCGACATTTGACGGAATTCTGGATATTACATGGTAACGTTGTTTCAACAAGATTATAGTTGGACTGCGGAAGTTCGTGCAGACTTATTTTACTACTAAGTTCAAGGAAATGAACGTTCGATCTTCTTCGTGAATAGTTATAAAAAATGAAAACTAGAACGAAGATATGTTAAATGTCACTAAACCTTATCATTCTGTAACTTTCTATTTTAAGATTTATACGCACCGTGAACGTATAAAGTTTCGCAGTCCAACTGTAGTGCGTAAAGTTGTAAATAAAAGCTCGAAATTTTCTGTAACGGTGGTCGACGATATGTTTCAAAAGTTGTTAACTTATTGCTCGAGGGGACGACTGTAGAAGTTGTTTAAAGTTCTTAGTCGAATGATGTTCGCTGATTCGAAGTTTACGCTCTTCCATGAAAGCCTTCTTGTGTACGCGAGAGTGCGTGTATGAAAGAGAAACAGTGAGAAAGAGAGAGGAAAACGGATATGTGATTTCTAATTTTAAGGCTTTTACCGAGCGAGCTCTGAACAGAGAACCCACTTGCGTTGACAATGTCGAGGTTGCACGAGAACATGTGTACCTTCAGCTTCCTGCGAAATTATTTTACGCGCTGTGTACGTTTTCGGAACACTTAAACAATTTCAAGTATTCACTGAAAATTCGCGTCATAGTAGTCTATATCTCCATTCTTCCTTATCGAAGCTTGTAGCAACTGAGAGCATTTAACGCATCGACTGTCACGAGAATCATGCTTATCATTTATTTTTCGTAGCAAAGACGAACAATATTAGAAACAATAATCTAATAATTAGAATGAATAAAAAAATATCACATTTCTTAGTTTACACTATTATCTAGTTATCCACGTAACTGAACATACTTTTTCAACATCAATCGTTTCATTGTAATCGGTCTCAATCCTCAAGATCTAATTATCGATGCCCACGATAGCAGTCAACGCGTTAAACTCCACTCGAAATAGTGAAAAATTAAATCTTGTACTTTTTCAAGAATCTAAAGAAGAAAGAAACTTCTTATGCGGCAATGTAACGGACACCGCGAAGACTTACGCGAAAAGCAGTGACCGCACAAAGTTCCGCCATTAAAGTATTTTATCGAGCGACTTGAGTAGCCTGTGTGCCGAATGAATGAGTGTTGAAAACTGTCCGATTTCTAGCCACCCAATCTTTGACCATCCCTTTTGTTAAGTGTGTATGGAATAGTCGCCAGAGAGAGCGGTGAGGGAGAGGGAGAGGGGGGAGGGAGTGATGGTGAACGGTAATCGAGGCGAAATGTGGTTGTTCCATTGTCCGGAAGTATGATTATGTGATACTCGGTTGGAATGTATATTCGTTTCGTTTCACCGCGGCCGGTCAGTTACATTTTTTCTTGCATTCGAGCGCGCCCTGCCACTAAAATGGAACGCCGTAGTCTTTAACTTAATCATCTCCCGATCCACGTCGTTTGCCGTTCGACTCGACCGACGGTCCGATTCAATTTGATTTGCCATAAACGAAGTTGAGCGAGGCGAACGAGCTCGTCTGGACGGAACCATCCTCGCCGGGGGAAACACCGCCGGGCAGAAAGAGTTTCTTATCGATCCACAAATTGAAGCGGAAACGAGATTTTCTTATTTATAATCCGGTGATTTCTTGGGACAATTGGAAGAGCGCTGTTTCTTCAAATCTGCGCTACTGACGAATTATAATTTCTCGAAAATTTTCTGACGCGAGAATCTTTGCGACGTTTCAGTGATCGAGGAAATTCGATTCAAGTTGAGTGTAAATAATTGGTAAAAATATTTAAGAGTAAATTGTGAAAAGAGAATGCGTTGTTAAAGAGGAGACGAAAGAAAACGAAGTTTCGCGCGGCGGTGTAGCTTTTTTGCCCGCAACCCAACGCGTGTATTTTTCTGTACAGAGTCTGTGTATATTAAACGCGCAAAAGTTTTTAGCACCGTGCACATCGTCGACGGTGAGCGCTGTTTGTTAGAGAGATCTTCGAATTTTATATAACGAGAGGCACTATTATGAACGCTTAGTCAGAGTTAAATAAGTTCGAACATTTGTCGATGTACGCACGTTCCTCCTACTCTTGGGTTACCTTACGAAGGGCATGTTATCGGTACAATCACGTTTATTATTGCTATTCTATTATTATTATTATTACTACTATTATTGCTATTATTATTATTATTATTATTATTATGTTTAAAGATTGTAATTAGTTCACGATGCCCTTTTATATTATCTATACAATATTTATTAAAACGTTTATCTTAAAGTATTCGTACGATGTACGATATATACGATGTATATATATGCGCACATATTATTGTTGTGAAATGTAAGGTTCACTCTTCAACCTCCGTATTCCCGGAATTTCTCATCGTAATGTTACGGAGTTTCTATGTGAAAAAAAGTCGAATAACTGACGAACGTACATTTAAATTTTTTATATCATTCTTCAGAGAACTTTCAAAATGGCGAGAGCGAAAATCACAACTTATTTCCGGCAACACGCGCTTCTGCTTTCATTTGTGAAATTTCTGTTTTACCTTCCTGTTTTTGTTTGTTTCGTGTTCCGAGAGTAATTAAGCCGAAGGAAGGGTGTGTGTTCCTCGTTCAGCACGGAGGTTGAACCAAACGGTACGATTTTCTTTGAAGATTCGATTCAACGTTTTCGTCACCACCCCCGCCCCTATGCCCTTAATTAAGTATGAATGTAATAACGTGTGATTTTATAGGAAAACTTGTGTGTGTCTATCTCGTAATTATCCTCAGACGTGTGAAGGGTAGCGGACGAGAAGCGCGTGAACGATAAATAAGAGAGAAAGGCAAAAACAAAACAGATAAGGGAATGATACCACCGGAGCCGGTACCAAAGTTATACCCTTTTCACTTTTTTTTTGTAAGGCGTTCGGACGAGTAATTTGCACCCTAGGCCCATTCAAAACAACGGGCAAATTCAACAGTATTAAGCGTTATGTGTTTACACGGATGTTTCAAAATATGTGGCCCAAATCGGTGGCAGGCGACCCAACAATGAAATATAAATCGGAAATGTGCGACGCACGCGTGTTTCACGTTTTGGACTAATTTTTTTTCGTGAGAAATTTTCCATTGAGTGGACCGTACACTTTGAAACAGCCTGTAGTATCTTCTACGTCGTTTGGCGTCTGTAGTTTCTCTGTTCCTCGTTCGGTTACTTTCGATTCCATTGACAGAAAACGACGTATCGAACGCATCGATTCGCGAATTCCGATGATAGAGCACGCTACTTTTCCGTAACAGAACGAGGTGGGAACGCGAAATAGAACGCAGCGAGTAATATTAAAAGGAAGATCGAAAGAGATATTTTAACGCGTGAATCGAACGCACGCGATTCCTGTCGTTTGATTCGTTGATTTTGAACGTTTAATCGATACGTACCGACACGTTGTCTGAGAAAACGGAGATTTAAATTAAGAAGCAGAAAACAAATTGTACATACGAGTGACATGACTTCGGAACGACTATCGCACATAAATGTATCTAATAATTATTTAATATATTGCAGATATAAATGGCATTAATTTCTTTGTTTACATTTTCTTTTTGCACTTTATGCCTGAACCGCTTGTATTTTGTAGCTGTAAGTTAATCGATTAGTTCTTATGTAGAATGACTATCTTTCAGACAGAACGTTGAATTCTGCATCCCTGCATGTTATACAATCGTTACGGCAAACCATTGAAAAATCATTTCGTCTGACTCTATAATTAAAACACTTCGGGGGAAGGGCGATAAATATTACTAGTAAACAACACATGTGATAATTGATTACTCACCAGTTCATATAGTTACAGTTTACTTATTGTTAGTTGCTTGAAAACGCTAGAAAGCATGTTTCTTTAAATTTAAAATATGCTAATTTCCCGCAATGTGAACGCCATCTACGTTCAAATGCTGAAGTTATTAGCACAGCTTAAATCTATCTATATAATGTAACTCAGTGTCGGTATTTTAGAACCATATAGAAAATCATATGATAAAAAGAGAACTATATGGAAAATTACACTTTATGATAGTCCCTTGCACATTTATCCACCAATGGCGCCACTTGCCATTTCTTTCTCATGTCACAGGTTGGAAATACGTATGTAAATATTTGGCAATGAGAAGGACAAAAATATCCGGTTTGAAGTTTAAGCATTCTCGCTATAGGTGGCGCCACCAAACCCGGATAAGGAACTGGGATTTTTTAAATTATTTTTTTTTAATAATTATTACCGTAATGACTTTTTCGTAGATCAGACAGGACTATCGGAATGAACAATTAATTATAACATTTAGATTTATTATACAAAGAAAACATTTAACTCTGTTAGTAATTCTGAAAAGGAAAATCAAAATCCTAGATTAGACTACCTTACTTATTCTGAAAAGGAAAATCAAAATCCTAGACTAGACTACCTTACTTATTCTGAAAGGGAAAATCAAAATCCTAGTCCTCATTCCTGTAGATCTATTACCAACACGGAGAGCCGATTGAGCGGATTTCAAATGAGAAAAGGCGAACTTTACAGACGTTGCATGTTATGACATGCCGATCGGCTTCGACTCGCTCATAACCCAACTAAACAGCTAGAACAGTTAATATACAAAATTAGTTAAAACAGTTGGTCAAAAAATTAAATTTTTAACACTACAGAATTAATTACCGATTGGGAGAGATACTCAGAGCAGTTTCTGCTTCTTGTAATGAGATGGCTCTGCTACTCGACGTTGTGTTTTAATATGGCTGCTACGTCCACGTGAATACCTAACCAAATTTGATTGTTTACACATGGAAGTATATTAAGCGGTTGTAATAATAATTTCATTATGGGTGAAGATACAAGTACGGTTGAAAAAGTCACGAGAATGGAAGATATTCTCAGTGATAGTCCTATAGTTGTGGATAAAGATACTTCAAATACAGAAGAAGTAAAAATCAAAAAAGGAAAAGCATTAGAAATACAAATTCCAAAAGGTAAACCAAAATCTGGTAGAGTATGGAAGGAACAGAAGAAAAGGTGTGTACAGTGCTACTTGTTTAACTTTTATTCTGTTGAACACACTTGAATGTACTTGTTTGTCATGCATAGGTTCTCTTCTATTATCAAAACTCGTGGAATACGTTTGTCATTTGAGAAGAAGCAGAAACTGAGGAATGACCTACAAAGGGTAAAAGACATGTCTCGGGCAATCAAAGCACAGAAACATGCAGAAAAAGAAGCTAAGAAGCAAAGGAGAATTGCAAATTTGAAGCGTGCTGAAGAGAACCAGAAGAAGGGTGAAGTTGTACAAGTGGTAAGTAAACTATAAATTAGTGAATTAAATAGAAAAGTTACAAGCGTATAAAAATACATATAAAACTAATGTTCTTGTTTTAGATCACAAACACTGCAAAACTAAAGAACATAAAGAAAAAGCATTTGAGAACGATACAAAAAAGAGACACCCTTAATTTATAACAATGTTAATAAAATGAAATTACATTAACTTGTATATGCTTAATTTTATATATTGTAAAATATTTTATAGTAAAATAAAATAGCTTAAAACATAAAGAAAAATGATTATTCATAATATCATAATGAACATTGTGCTGTGGTTTCCCTGGCTTTCTGTCTACTAACAAAATCACGAAGTTGTTTTCTCAAGTCGTATTTATTCTGTGTGATCCACTGAAAAGTAAATCAGATTTTGTAGAAATGCCCAGACCATGTTAAATTTGGGTTACAGTCGCAAATAAATTACCATTGTTTTAATCCATTTCGGAAGTTTCTCCTTGTTAGACGGCAATAAAAATCTGAAATTGGCGATTTAAAATGAACCATTTCCGTTAACCGTTTCTGAGATTATACAAACCTTTCGTCCACTAATAATACTGCCCCCCAATCGTTGATGTGTCTCAAGCAACGACCCAATGCTTGATTCAAAGCTCTGAACGCTTGGATCGAGTACCATTCTGAGCCTTTTAACAAGCTCCCTGTATTTAAGTCGTTATATTTGTATTTCATATCAATTACCGGATCCTTTCTTACCGCGTACGGTATACCAACCTACAAAAGGAATGTTTAACTTCTTCCTATTTAAATATTTTCTTTAGTTTACTTACCGTTACCACACAGCGAGCTTCGTCGTCTCGAAAGTCGATTCCTTCGGCAACTTTTCCTCTAAAAACTGCTAGGAATAAGGCACCGTTGATTTTTCCTTTCGGTCCAGTCGAAGTGTCTCCTATAATTTCTCGATAATTATTCATAATACTATTTAAATCACTTCCAAAACGAGGCTCTATGAACACATGCTTTATACTAGTGATTCTATTCCAGATGGAGTTCTTCTTCCATCTTTCCATTTGTGTATGCATCACATTGTAAGAGGAAAAGAAACATAGAACTCCATGAGGTACCGACTCACAAATATCTAGCAATACTTTTCCTAATTCATCCTACAACAATAGAAAATCTTCTAGAAAACTGAAAATTATTGTAAACACGGTTTTCTTTAAGCAAGGGGAATTCTTGTAGTTTAGGGAATTCCCGTATTATTAACCTGGAAGCTCCAGCTGTTCACATTCTGGTAGTCTGCTTTCAAAGAAACACCGTTTGGTCCTTTTGGCACGCATGTAGCGTACACTTGTTCCTTTGGTATCACATGCGCTGTGTTCAGCACGTGAGGAAATGCCGTGTTCAATTCACTTTGGAAAGAGCCGGTTGGAGTTAGGGTACCAGACGCGAGAACTATACAATGCGCCGCCTGAGCAAGTGGCGAAAAGATTACTCCCGAATTCATGCAGATCAGTTTCAGGACCCGAGCACAGTTCTCTTTCGTTTTCGTTGACAACCACGTGTCGTCTGTTACCTAATTTTAGAAGGAAAACTTTGACTTTAATATACAATTTAACATCATACAGTTGCGTCCCTGGTTATTACTCACATATTTAAAATCTTTCACTGTAGTCTCAATTACACAAGCCCTGTAGTCATTCATAAACTCTGAGGAAGTGATCATTCGCAATGCAAACACCAGGTGTCCAATTAAGACTTTACTACTAGGAGAGATAATAGGCTTTTCAGAGTTTTTCCGACCTTCTTCCTTTGCTTTAACCATATCCTGCATTGCAGCATTACAGGCTGTCAAAAAATTAGGGTATTCAAATTCTCCGAGGTTGTACATATTAAAAAGTTCCATCAACTCAGCTCCAGTCCAATATGGGCTTGACAGGTTGTTATCACGATTATAATCCTGATGACAAAACATGTTCAGCTTCACTTAACAAATTTCAGCCCAAGCAAAAATAATGGATACTTACAACTTTGTCAAGTGTAATGCTCTTAAGGAACTTATGTAGCTTTAATATATAGAGTTTTATGGTTGTGTATGTGAAAGCATCAGTGGGCCTCCGTTTTGCGAGACTCTCACATTCTATAGCAGTAGCCTGAAGATGATCTTCACGGAAATTGACACTAGCCACCTCTCTGCAGCTATCTTCTATATTGTGGGCTTCATCAAGAATAATTACCTGCTCCTTTAAATCGAGTTGCATCTGTGGTGATCACAAGTGTTAGAATTTTGAAGTTTTTCAAAGGTATTTTTAGGTTCTATTTCATTGATGCTTACACTTTCACGAATATTAGGGTCAACAATATAATTATAAGGACAGAAAATAATATCTGCGTGCTGCATTAGGTTTCTCGCAGCAAAGTACGGACACAGACCTTCATTATTCCCTATAGCAACCAGATCTTCAATGTCCCATACTGGCCCCAAACCACGACTTTCCACTGCACGGAAATCCGTAAGAATCTTTTTGTTGCTGTCGTTGTAATATGGACATCCCCTGTGCTGAATGCATAAATAATTTTATAAAAATGACTTTTTTTTAGTGTCGTTCATACTATCCATTTCTCTGAAAAGAGAGGATGTACCTTTTGAGTGTCCAGCAGATCATTACACAAGTCTGTCTTATTTCTATTGGATTTTTGTATACAAGTGTGTTCTCGACTGCTCAGAATGGTCATTCTAAAAAGAAATTAACATATTTCTCACGCCATCGTGTTACAGACCAATATTCTACCTTAAATAAATACTTACTTCTTATGCTTGTACGCAGTCTTCTTCAACTCCCTTACGACTTGCTCAATTTGTTTATGAGTCCTTGTGCCATAGTATATCTTTGGAATTTTCAATCTCTTTCTAAAATTAAGTAACAGTCGCGCACAAGATTAAGTTGTATTCCAAGAAGAACATCACCCAGATATACGTATTAAACCCATTCTCACCTTTTGTTCTTGAAGGCGTTTTCGAAACAACTTTCGTCGCCTTCCACATCATCACATTCATCCTTGCATCTTTTATCACAATTATCGTCGGAGTTCGAAAAATCTTCATCAACGGAGAAACCGTAGGTCTCTGAAATAAACGTGATTTGAAGAAACCTTGACATGCCTAGATTTTTCTCGTGGTCTCGAAAATTACTTTGCTGTTAGTCATTTCCGAAATAATCTTTTACACGGACATTCGTACAAGGAACGATAACGGCCCCTATCAGATCAACTCATAAATTTCCACTACAAATGTCCAATTACCACAGAACACACGTCACGTTCCAATTCAATGACTGAAATCGATTTGATTACCGTTTTATCGACGAAACATTATCTTACTCTAATGCCCACAATGTAACCGGTTTTCAACCCCTTACGGATTCTCCGAGGCGCCGATCCGGATGAAGAAAGGGAATTGGAACGGATAAACAAGAATGGCAATGGGAGAAGAAAAATAAAACTTAAAAATTGTTGAACCGTCGACGAAGAAAAAAAATTCGTGTTGGGAGGAGAGGGTGGGATGTTCCTCCGATTCGCATGGACGACGCGGGCGATTTCTAAGGGGCGCGCTTCGCTTTATATATATATATATATATTACTTAGGAAGTTGTTCGCCACTGAAAGGATCCGCTCCGAAGATCGAGCGAGCGAGCGAGTGTTCTATTAATGCCGTGAAATGAGCGAGGACGAGCGAGAGGAATGTCAAAACAGCGAGATCGCTGGCAGGTGAAAGGGCACCGGAGAATCCATTGAGCAGGATCAATAGGGGTGGTTTTATCCACCCTCTCGACGGCCGTCGACAAAAGGGGCCAGGGTTCTGCCTCGAAGGAGAGATCGGAGAATGGATGAACGCGGGTGGGGCACGGGGTGGATGAG